TAACACGGCTACTGCCATTACCTTGGAGCTGCCATAGGCTTGAAACGCCACTGACAGTGTTTTCACATTTTCTACAAGACAATTGAAGAAAGTTGCTGCTTCTTCCCATGGAACTCTTGGTAGGCTGCCACACAGGCCTTGTAATGAGCTATGCAAACTGCCACAGTTGCAGCAGACTGTAGCCCCCACTGAATCTGATTTTCTCCCTTCTGAGTGGAATGAGGCTGGAGAGGTTTTCTTGGATTAGGATGCTTCCATGATTGCAGAATCAGGGCAAGACAGATTACCTGCAACTATGGTTTTTCAAAGGGGCCTCTATGTGGGCTCTGCACCTTCACAAAGACCCATTAGATGGAAACCCTTTGGAGCAGATTTAAGCAATTTGATCTGCCAGTGGTTCATGTAGCATGTACACAGGGAGCCACCAAGAATTTCACCTTATCTTTATGAAGGCCAAGATGTAAAAGACTTTTTCCCTATTGGAACAGATCTAACAGCCTACACTGAGCAGATACAACATCAGTGGCAAAGTATGGGTTCTTTGCTACCCTCACATCCACTGAATAGATGCTAAACTGAGTGTTAGTATTTGTTCATTCAGATTCATCTTGTCTCTGGATGAAGAATGCAGTTAATGATTTGCCCAAGGAAAATAATACTGATTTCCAAAAGCAACTTTTCATATCCATTCAAGCTACCTTGTTAAGTACAGGGGGTAAGAAAACATAACTTGTGGGGTTGGAAAGAAAATTGTACCAGCCCACAAGCCTGAACTAATAAAAAAATGTTTCTCACATGTTACAAAGAACAAAACCTCATTTTCAAAAGTGCTGCATTTCTGGAGTAGCTGCCCTCTGATATAACCATTATCTCACACAACCATTTTGCATGGCTGGAAGCCTATCTTACTGTAGGGGATCCAGAACAAGCAAAATATTATCACTTACACAGGGGTGGGCACAAGGCACTGTCCAGTTCCAGGTTCTGACCCAACTTTATGGGATATCTACATGACTCGTCCATTAAAGGTTGGCAGGCATGCAATGAGCAGAGCTGGCTGGAGCCAGGGGTTAGACTAGATGGCCCACACTCGCGCTGTTTTCTATGTTTCTAGATTCCAGTTGTGTTCCATTGCTGATCCTGTTACTCAGACTTTATGATGCATCCTTCCAGATACTTTTCACAATTGTGTGGCTACCTCCATAGCAAGTGTGTGAAAGACAGAAAGGGAGGGGAAGATATGGAACAGTATTTGCATGGTACTTCTGTCCCCTATTTTCCTTCTTTGTGTCCCCTTCTTGGGCTTCCAGAACATGATGAAGTGGCAACAGCAGGGGCAAACAAGCCTTCAGTGTCAGGCACAATGCAGGAATCCCAGTGCAAAGTCATCATGATTAAAAACCACCCGTTGTCCATGCTACTGCAATGAATGGGTGAAAAATAATGCTTTTCACTCGACACCCCCATACATGAGATGTCAAGATATTCTTTGGAATGAAGAAATGAGGGAACAAGAACTTACACATGAGGGCTGCATGAAAACACACCAGTCTTTGTCTTGCAGAAACTGATGCCCATTTACAAGAGAATCCCCTTGATAAGGCTCCCTTTCAAAAGCTGCCCTGCCAATCTGCATTAATGAATTTTCACAGTACACACAACAGAAAGTTTCCAGTTCTTAAAACTATTACTTACAAACTTTAACTTTTTATAAACTCATTTCTCCTTATTTGTTCTCAAAAGTACAGCTGGTCAGAACTCAGAATGCACATTGAGTTTGTTAGGAAGATTTCTGCAACAGCCATTTTATTAATTTGCTACTGCAACAAGACTGCAGCAATACCCCTCAAACCAACAAGTTTATTATGGCATGCACTTTCATAAGTCACCTAGCTCTATGATACCTTCTTCTGTGTGAAGAGGTTTCTGGGTCAGTCTGCACCTTATCTGCATGGGATGTATCTCTCTTCAACAAGTCTATGCTGGAGTGCTAACTGTGTGGTGGCCATACGATTCTGAGTTTTACTGGGCGGGTTTGCATATCACAATGATCCACCCTGGCCAGAAACTATAGTTGAGTTGGATGTTCTGCAAACAACCCATGGTGCACCCATAAATAAAACTAAGTTAAATAGTGAAATGTCATCCAGACAAAGCAGTTCCAATGAACCTATCCATCGCAATCAGTGTCTTCAAACTCCACGGTTGCACCATGGTCACATTTGTTGACTTGGCAGTTACTAAAACCAGATGAACAAGGCAAGCCATTGCAAGCACATCACAAACTCTGTTACAGAGTTATACCAATCATCTTCACAAGTCACTCAATAACTAGAACATGTTTGGTGGTTTTTTCACTAAATTCCTCAAAACCAATCCAATGAGGGAAAAAAGATTCAGGACATTTTTGTATACTTCTACACTACTTTGAGAATGTGTGGAATGCAGATTTCCATGTTGCAGGGTTTAAAAAAAAATGTGGTTGCCTGTAATGTTTGTATCCTTCTTGGTTCACAAGAGTTCACCATGGCTTAGTCTACCCACAGGCTCTGTCCTATTATACCAAGTGCCATATCTGCATGGTGCTCAGCTTGCTATGTTGCATCAACCAAGGTGGCAGGGTTTGTTTGAAGATTAGATTAGTTATTTCATAGAATCATAGAATAGCTGAGTTGGAAGAGGCCATGAAGGCCACTGGGTCCAACTCCCTGCTGTTGCAGGACACCAAGTTACACCATCCCACACAGATGCCTGTCCAGTTTGTTTGTTTTTTTTAATGTCTCCAGTGCGGGAGAGCCCACCACCTCTCCAGGTAGCTGGTTCCACTGTTGTATTGCTCTGACAGTGAGGAAGCTTTTCCTGATGTCCAGCATGAATCTATGTTGTCGCAACTTGTCCTACACTCCAGCACCAGCAAGAAAAAATCTTGACCTTCCTCTTTGTGACAGTCTTTGAGGTTCTTATAGAGGGATATCATGTCCCCGCCCCCCAGTCTTCTCTTCTCAAGGCTGAACATGCCCTCTCAGTCGCTCCTCATAGGGCAGAGTTTCTGAACCTGGATCAATTTTGTTGCCCTCCTCTGAACCCCTTCTGATTTTCCTGCATCCTTCTTAAAACTTGATGCCCAGAACTGGTCACAGTATTCCAGATGAGGTCTGACTAGTGAGGAGTATAGAAAAACTACTATTCTCATGATTTGGAAGTAATACTTCCGTTAATGCATCCCAAAATAGCATTTGCCCTTTTGGCGGCTGCATTGCATTGTTGGCTCATGTTAAGCCTACTGTCCACAATTATTCCAAGATCTTTTTCTTTTTCAGTTCTGTTCAGCCATGTATTCCCCATCTTGCATCAATGCCTTTGGTTCTTTTTCCTAGGTGGAGACTTGGCACTTGTCCCTGTTGAATCTCATTCTGTTGCTTTCAGCACAGCATTCAAGTTTCTCAAGATTGCCCTGGATCTTCATTCTGTCTTCTAGGGTGTTTGCTATTCCACCCAGTTTTGTATCATCTGCGAATTTGATTATCTTTCCTTATACTTCCTCATCTAAATCATTAATAAAGATGCTGAAGAGCACTGGGTCCAGGACTGAACCCTGTGGCACCCCACTAGTTACCTCCATCCAATTTGAGAAGGTGCCATTGGTGAGCACTCTTTGTGTCCAATTTGGCAGCCAGTTTTGGATCCACATAATTTTCCTTCTTGTTCAGTTTTTTTAATTTGCTTACCAGAATGTTGAGTCGCACTATGTCAAAACCTTTGCTAAAATCTAGGTAGATTATGTCCACAGTATTCCCTTTGTCCATTTGGGAGGTTACCCAGTCAAAAAATAAGAATAAATTAGTCTGACAGGATTTATTTTTGATAAATCCACGCTGGCTAATATCAATCACTGCAATTTTTGCTCCAGAATTTTTGAATGCTAATAATTTGCTCCAGAATTTTTCCAGAGATTGATGTCAGACTAACTGGTCTATAGTTCCCAGGTTCATCTTTTTTCCCCTTTTTGAAGATAAGGACATTAGTCCTTCTGCAGTCGTCTGGCACTTCTCCTGTTTTCCAAGATTTATCAAAGATAATAGCCAGTGGTTCTGAGAGTTCCTCCACTACCTCTTTTATGACTCTGAGATGGAGTCCATCAGGCCCTGGAGATTTGAACATACTTATTCCATCTAGGTATTCCTTGGCCACTTGTCTGTCAATCTTGGACTGCCATCTCTCACTTTCAGCTTGTACTTCCTCTTGGTTGATTTCCTTATGGGAGAAGACTGAGGCAAAGTAGGAATAGAACACCTCTGTCTTTTCCTTGTTATCTGGTATCACTCTGCCATCCACTTTACGTAGCTGGACACCTTTCTCTTTCTCATGTCTTTTGTCCTGGATGTAGCTGAGGAAGTTTGCTTTGTTTTTCTTAGCATCCCAATTCCAATAGAAAGGAATTGCTATTCTCAGTTCATTTTCTGCTTTAGCCTTCCTGATGCTATTCTTGCAATTCCTTGCTATTTGTTTATATTCTTCCTTCGTGGCCTGCCCCCGCTTCCACTTCCTGTACATGTTCTTTTTTTTTCTTTCAGGCTGTCACTTAACTTTGAGAGTTGCCTAACCATCAAACAGCTCCTGCCACCTGGTTCACACAATATAGCATCCAAAATAGCCACTTACAGGCATGCAGCACAAAGTGCTGCCCTTAGGGTAAATTAGGCCACAGTGGTCAGTAGTGTCATGTGAACTAAGTCAGTGAGTTCAAGGTGGTGGACATGATCCATGTCCTTTTCATTTTATCCTCATCCCAACCCTGTGTGGGTGGTTAGGCTGAATAACAGACACTGCCCCAAAGTCACTCAAGTGAGCTTTCATGGCTGAGTGCAGACCAGGTTCTAACCCTCCTGAGTCCCAGTCCAACACTATAACCACTATGACACATTGGCAGTTACTGATGTCCCTGATCAGTTTGGTGTTATGAAAGCTCCTGTTTTAACATCAAAATAGAAGCAGCTTACCGAAGCAGCAACTCTTTGGGAAGCTTTTTGTTGATCACAGCCTCATCATTGTTTGAGAACATCTGCAAGAGAGAAATACAACATATACATTTAGCCTTTTACAGTTTCAGGTGAGTATGGTGTCATCATGGGGGAAAGATGTTTGTGATGCTATCTGAATAGGTGGCATTTAAAGAAGACACTGTGCTTTGCATGCTGATTTTAAAAGTCTGGTTTTCAAATATATTACAATCCATGCTGAAATTTAGGGTTGTGAAGAAGTTTAACTAGTCTAAATTTCATTATGTTTATCTGGGGGTCTTTGTAAAAAAAAAATCTGGCATCAGAAAATGATGCTCCCCAAATTACTCAAGACAATCTATTCTCTTCTGCCAGGGTTTATGGACCTGTGATGAATAGGTGCAGCCTGAGGAAACCGGAAGACCTAGTAACATTTCCATTCTATTAGATTAACTGAATGCAAATGAATGTATTAGATTAATACATTAGATTAATTGAATGTATTCTGCTTTCCTTAAGGATGCAAGTAGGCCCAGATGATCCTGAAGGTCATAACTAGTACTTTGGACTTTGAGTAGAAATGCATTGCAAACCTGGATTGGTCATTACAACAAGTTATTGTAACATGGGAATTGCACCATTTCAAATCAACCCTAGTCTGTTGTCTGGCTGTAGGATTTTGGCCTAGCTTAATACCACACTTAACGGGAGTACAAATGATAGCTTTTTGAGGGTTAAAGTTATAATTTCTCACATCTTTTCCTAATTTTGATGAAGACAAATGAGACGGCAATGACAATAAAATGTAATAGTGATGACTACAGAGAGAACTAGACTGATGGAATTCAATACATTTTTATTATCAAACATTTATAAGCCTCATTTTCTTGGCACTTGTTCCTCATCTCTACTTTCTTTATGAAGGAGGTGTAGCATTCTTTGGGGCAGAGTTATAGTTCTAGACAGAAGATGTTTATATTTGTCACACTGTACACTCCTCTAGCACATACAGTTAAACCTAACATTGTTTCTAGAACTGGTATCTGTAGGATTTCTAATGGAGATCTTTCAGATCCCAGCTGCATCCAGGACTATGATTTGAATGCATATGCTATAGGGATTAACCTGAATCAAAGCATGCCTTGTTTCATTTTTTTATGCCTACCACAGTTCATCAATAAAAGACATGAAAAAGACTCCTGTTGGAGGAGTTAGCAACTACAATATAATTTGTGTATCCAGAATGTTAGTAGCTTTTCAATATTATAGCTTGAGAGTGCTTTTGCAAAAAAAAAATGAAGTGGAAAGGACATCTGCTTATTGCTACCAGATGAATGCATTTGTTTGACACAATGTGTCAAACAATTTATCCACAGTAAAGAAACAGTGGCTTCTAAGTGATATTGGACTACAGCTCTCATCAACACTAAGCACTGGCTAGTCTACTAAAGAATAATAAGAGATTTAGTTGTTTCATTTACTCCCCACAAATGGTATACAACCTGGCTATATAACATGGCATGTTGTTCCAGTGAAGGTAACTAGAGAAATCTGGCTGACATGACAGGGTTAACAAGTCACTGTCATTTATTTCCCTCTCTCCAATTGTGTAAATCAAACCAGTAAGTGCCACAAGGCTCTTTGATCTCTCCACTCTGCTTGTGGCAACAGATTATGCTACTAGTCTTTTTTCTGTTCACACCTTTTGTTGGGACAGATATTGCAGGCCCTACATTGCCCAGTGAATTTTCTGGGAATTTTAACTCGGCTTTTCCAGTTAAGGTGGTCAAAAGAGAGGAAATATGTCACTTTACATGTCATCTGAACCCAGGTGGTATAGCATAAATGGGAAGAAGAGGCAACAACCCTCAAATAGGCCAGTAATAGTCCAGTGTTAACTTGTGTAATTAGTTAACCATACTGCAGTCCTGCACACATAATCACAAACTATATACATATATTTTGGCATAAAAAAGTATTAAACGCATGGAGGAGCCCCTTAGGCAGCATATATATATGATGGGGTGGATCCAGATTTAGTCACTGAGTAGATCTGTTGAAAGAAATGTGACTTCACCTAGTAATGTTTAGCAGGTTTAAGTTTAGATCCAGCTCTAAAAGTACAGAGAGATGTATTTTAAGAAGTTGAGACCAATGGCCTAAATTAATGCAAGCAATAATTGTGGGTGCAGCACATTATCATGTCAGCACAACTCAGTACAGAAACTAGTCAACATGGGTGTAATCCCCTAATGCAAGGACGGGCAACTTGTGGCTCCCCAGATGATGTTGGATTGCAAGTTGTAACCTTCAAAATCAGACTACATATGGATTATTACATAAATGCTGAGTTGTATCACTTGTGCCCTGTTTCAGGACTTGGCCCTGTTTGCATATTTCCTCTGCTTTTCATATACATCTGTTTGAAAACTGTAGAGTTATCATAGCTTTAAGCAGATCTTCAGTGAAGGCTGTGCATGAATGTTTTAATAGGGATGCACAGACCAACAAATACATGATAAGCAAAAGTGGCTGCCCTGTAACCCTCTATGCTCAGAGGATTAAAGACATTCTATTGAGGACATAATTTCTGCAAAGGTGAAAGTTGCCTTCAGGTTTCTCCCACCCTGCAAAAGACTTAGCCAATTTTAGCCATGGGACCTTTTTGCACATGCTCACCAAGAAGACAGGCTGAGGGGCTGCAAGGATGTATCATATCCCAAGCTAAATCTCACTTCCCCCCTCTCATCCCATCTCCTGAACACTGGCTCAGAAGTTAGTGTATTGACCTCAGAGCCACAGATAGTGTGGTTCTTCCTGTGCCAGCTGTAAGGGCTAAGGAAGGCACTCTAAATTCAGAGTCACAGCTCTGACCTTGAAGCAGATTTCTAAGGTCAGAGCTAGGACTCCAACAAATTTTCCTTAGTCTTTGTCTAGTAGCTATGGGATTGTGCCCTAGGACTCTTAGCTGACAAATGCCTTGAAGACATAGACAGACAGAGTCCCTGGCCACAGTTTCTCATGCTCTGGTAACATCTCATTCTATATAAGCTACACTGGAAGCCTGGGCCCAATTTAGAGTGTTTGTTTTGACATATAAAGCCTTAAACGGCTTACGACTTACTACCTAAAAGACTCTCTTCTCCCACATATACCTACCCACCATATTTTTAAAATGGCCATTATGATATTGTTACTGTTTTGTTATGACGATTCTACTGTTTTATTGCTTTTAAGAATCGTGTTTTGATTACTGTTGTAAACTGTCTAGAGATCCCTGACAGAATAGTTGGCAGCATACACATGCAGAAATAAATATGTCTTCCACAAGTTCTGCCAACTGTTTGTTTTTGGAATGTACACTGGAAAAAATGTAAAAGAAATAAACAATACTATTAAAATTATCAGTTTAAAGGGCAGAGGTGGGGTCACGCATTGTCTATGAGGTATATGCTGCCCATTTCTGCTGTAGGAACTTTATTTATTATAGCATTTTTATGCCACCCCCATCACAGAAAGCCTCGGGGTAGCTTACAAAGCAGACTAGCACATTTTGATTTTTTTAAAGAAATTGAACATAATCATGCAAATATTTAAAGTGGACGGGAATGAGGATGCCACAGCGCAGAGATCACTGCAGAAACTAGGCCATATTTTAAGGAAACTGAAAAAGGATTTCACTTGACTGATGATCAACATAGAAAGGCCAAAAAAACAATGTGTAATATTTTTTATCAATACAAACTATATTGCAGCATCCTTTATTGCAGTACAAGCATTCTTTGAAAGATAAAAACACTTCTGATAATGGGTCAGATTTCCTTCTTCTGAAATACACCATGCCTGTTTATTTCTTGCAATTGGAGGCATGTGGAGTTTAATGCAGAATCTGGCATTTGATGACTATTCAGAATTCTGAGAATGTTAGCTTTTCTCATAAGCTCAATTCCAGCACTCATGGATGCAGAGAATGGTGTGAAAATATGCAGGCAGGTCAAGACAGCAGTCTACAACATGTAGAAGGCTTTTCCAAAGTCTGCAATAGCATTTACAATTGTGCAGTGACTCAGCCTTCCACGCTGCATTAATCAGAAGGGGGGGGGGCTCAGCCTTCCACGCTGCATTAATCAGAAGGGAGGGGGAGAGGCAGCCAATCCACTCTAGCCAGGGAGCAGTTCACCTATCTTCTCTGCCTCATACTGTGAGAGCTAATGGGCCAACAACATAAATGTGCAATAGTGTGGCAGTACATTTTAATATGGTCAGAGATCAAGTAGCTTTTCAATAAGAACTTACAGAAGTTTGCAACTCCTAAACAATAATTAGATAGTCACCTACTCTCATTTTCATTTCACAGCCCACATTGCTGGATGTGAGCATGATTATGTATGTTGTCTGGTCCAAGACTATTCTTCATTACTATGACTCAGCAAAATGAACAATTTTGAAAGCATGTTGTTTGATTATCTGAACTTGCCACATGCATTAACATTTTCAGTTTAAGAGTCACACAGAGGATGAAAGATATCAATCTGTGTATGTATCGGCTACAGTAAGTTTACTGTGTATAGAAACAGCCTCATCCATGCTTATCCTTTTACAGCATGCAACTTGGTTTAATTGTTCTGAATCAAGTCTTTATTAATTATTCCTTATAAATAATTGATTTCACAAGTTTCCCCCTTACAGTCCCCATAAGGCCCACAGGAAGGTCTTTGTTCCTTCTGGTTATCAAACTCAAGGCAATCCTTTAAAGTGTAGTTTTTTATTGGAACTAAACAGATTACAGAATAGTATGACCTCTAAATAGCCTTCTACCAAAGATGAAGAAGCATCTGCCCATGTTAAGAGTTGAAGCCAAACTGGAAACTTGTCCCTTCTGTTCCTTCCTTTCAATAATGCTGTGGATTCCACCCTCAGGTTAGCTCTTGAGCAACTGGGTTCTCCACCACCTCTTTATTGGGTCAAAGACTGGGTCTTGCATCTGCCCTCCCTCCCATCCTGAAAACACTTCTGTCCCTTCCAAAGCAGGCCAATTCTTGTGCTCTGCCTGAGAAACTTC